GCTTAATGGGCTTCATGACGCCGATTGCGAATACTCATTAGAAATGTAACATTTTGACCTCTTCGCCCAACAAAAATCTCCAGAAAACTAATCGTGGTTTGATTATTCATTAGGACTATTTCGTTTTGTCTGGCCTCTTGATTTGGTAGTATGCGGGGGGAGCGCTGCGGGGGCGAGAAGTCCAGGTCCAAATTTGGGCTCCTGTGTCCCACGTGATGGCCTCAGTGGCAGCCTCAGTGGGAGCCCACAGAGTGGCCTGTTACAAGGGCATGCGCTTTCCTCTCTTTTCTTTCTCCTTCCTTCCTTCCTTCCTTCCTTCCTTCCTTCCTTCCTTCCTTCCTTCCTCCTTCCTTCTCTTCCCTCCTTTCCCCTTCCTTCCTTCCTTCTCTTCCCTTCCCTCCCTTCTCCTTCCTTCCTTCCTGCCTTCCTGCCTTCCTTCTTCCTTCCTTGCTCCCCACCCTGGAAGAAGGGGGCCAGGGAGGGAGCAGGGGTGTCCTGGCGGCACAGCAGGAGTGGCTGGGCCCTCTCACCCTGATCTAGGATCAGGGACAGCGGCCCTGGGAGGAACTGGGAAGTGATTTAAATGGGGCTGACACTGGTAGTTTAACCGGGATGGTTTCCCTGCAGAAGGAAAGGCCTGGAAACGCCGATGGGGCAGCGGGTGGGAGTGCCTGGCGGAAACCCAAGTTAGGAAAATTACGTGGCTCAGGTCACACCTCCCCTGGGTGGAGACCTTGCATGTATGTCTACTCAAAACCCATCTCCCAAATAACCTGAAGACAGGTCCCCGGTCTTCATAGTCACAAGGGTGAGGGGTCATTCTGAGAAATGAGCGAAGGAAGAGAACCCCGGGGAGGCAGTGCTGGCCGGAGGAGGGAGGTGGTGGCCACCAGCAGCCCTGCCACACCAGGGGAGGCCCTGCGGGACCAGAGGCCGGTGGGTGGACAGACGGACAGACAGGCTGAGATAGCCAGCACGTGGATATTCACGATGCAATTCTTTCAACTTCTCTGCATGTTTGAAACGTTTTATAACAAATGTTGGGGGAAATGAGAAAAGTGGACCTGACTCCAGCGGTGAGAATGCAAGTCATGGCTGGCCGTGGTGCCCAGTGCCTGACATGTGTCAGAGCTGAAGGCTATTGACTCACGTGACAATACGACAACTCCTCTCACCTCCAGGCTTACTCTCAGTGACTGAGACTCTGTCTCATTCTGACGCTCAGTGGTCACCATGTTTGATCAGAAAGTGTGGTTCCTTATGGTTCAGCATTTTGAGTCAGCCACCAAGAGTTTGCCAGAAATTGTCCTATAAGAGATTTTCATTTTTTTTTAAGATTTTTAATTGATTTTTAGAGCGAGAAGGCAGAGGGACAGAGAGAGAAAGAAACATCGAAACATCGATGTGAAAGCAGAACATCAACATCGATCGGCTGCCTTCTGCACGCTCCCCACCAGGGATCGAGCCGCAACCTGGGCAAGCGCTGACCGAGAATGGAACTGGCAACCCTGCAGTGCAAGGGCGACACCCAGCCAAGTGAGCCACACCAGCCGGGGCAAGGCTGTAACCTCTTGCCCCTATTAACTCAACTAATTGTTGTAAGTGAGCAATTAGGAGGGAATGCTGCCAAATATAACAGATCGGAGTGCTTTTCACTTTTTGTAGGTGTGGTATCAGGCTAATAATATTGATAATAGAATCACCAACCTCATTCTTCAGTCTTTCATGTATCTGAATGGTTTTGTGCTCAAGGGAAGGAGAGGGAAGATAAGGAGAAAAGAGAGAGAGGTGAGGCTGTTTCAGTTTCCCCTCCCGCACCTAGACCACCCCGTGGCGGGAGAACACCCACCTTCCTGTGTCAGAGCCCCTGGTCAGCTGGCAGGCCGATTAGCCACTGTGT